ACACAAATCTCTCTGGTTCCCTCTTCTTCGTTTCCTCTGTTACAGGGGATCTCTTCTTAAAATAGTGGACTCAACCTTCTTCTTCGTTGCTTTGAACTTCAGCTTTGACTCTTGCCCTTCATCTTCATTTTCACGTATTCCGACTCACCCCCTATCCATTTCTTTAAAAACAAACTAGTCTTTAATTTTAAAGGCCTTACAACAAATCCTTACTCTTATTAATCTGGAATGATTAAGTAGATTATTTGTCTATATGGATCGTCATAAATTATACTCTATGGGCCCATCTGACAATGGATTGAGATTGGGATTTAAGCTAAATCTCGCCATACAATCTTTTTGGACAATAACTTCTCGACTGCAGTAAATTCGAATTTCTTCCGTAAATCTGGGATTTTCTTAATCCTCCAAATTGGTGGATTTAACTTGGCATTGTGGATTTAATGCCGGGGCGTGTGCTTCCCGTGAAAATGAAGATGTGAAGTTACCTTCCTCATGGTTTTGGGCGGGATCATAACCACTTAAGGAGGACGATGGGATTTTGCGTCTTTGTATGCCATGATCCCATTGTTGCCTTCCCAGTTAGCTTTAATTGCGACTATATCGCGAGATTCAGTCACGAAGTTGATAGTTTTGGGCGAAATTGGGAGAGGGAGGAACATAAGCGAGGGTTATAGGTAGAAAGAGGATGGGCGTTTGGGCGAAACTAGAAGATAGTATGTACGGGCTGAGAGGGGAAGGGGAGATAACTTTAATAGTTTTTAATTTTAATGTATGCTTAGGGGTAGTTACATATAGTGCACCGAAATATTTCTTCTTATAAATCAAGCACCCTATTTCATCAATTTTCCATATTCACACTTAAACATCGAAATTCATGATAAGACCCTAATCCATATTTTTCATTTTTATCAAATTCCTAATAGTTTGATCATGACACATGGTAAATGCTTTGATTCGATGGTTTAAAAAATTATCGGGGGCTTGATTTGTAAGTAAAAAATTTTCAGGTGCTTTGTATGTAATTATCCCTTATTTTTTAAGTTAGGTTTATTAATTTAATTGATAAATAATTAATAATTAATTAATATATTATCAAGTTTGTTATTATGTGGTAAATATACATGTAATTATTTAATAATTAATTAGTGAATGAAAATACATTTTAAGTTTTTAATTATTTAGTAAAATTCAATGTAATTATTAATTAATTTAATTAATAAGTAATTAATTTTTAATTAGTTAATTTTAAATTATTGCTTAGTTAGTAATTAGTTTAATAAAAAAACTATTAATAATTAATTAATTTATTAGATAATTAATTATTAATTAGCATAATTAAAAATACAATTTAAATTGAATTCAATTACTTTAATAATAATTAAAATTTAATATAAATTTATTTTTCTAACATATGTAACAACCTTTTAAATTTTAATAAAAGTTATCAAGTGGTTAACGGGATATACTAAATTTGTCGCCAAACAATTTTTAGGATTTTATCTTTACCGGATTTACTAAATTCAAATTTACTTGATTCACTAAATCTTATTTCCTTAAATCTTGTTCTTTGCCATATAAACCCTATGTTTATAATTTTATTAAATATCCATTGTAGCATTAGTACATAACAATTGCAATTTAAGGTATTAAAATGGATCATATGACTTTTAATTTAGTTAACATATATTTAATATGGTGTAATTATTTAATAATTAATGAATGAATGAAAATACATTTTAAGTTTTTAATTATTTAGTAAAATTCAATGTAATTATTAATTAATTTAATTAATAAGTAATTAATTTTTAATTAGTTAATTTTAAATTATTGCTTAATTAGTAATTAGTTTAATAAAAAAAACTATTAATAATTAATTAATTTATTAGATAATTAATTATTAATTAGCATAATTAAAAATACAATTTAAATTGAATTCAATTACTTTAATAATAATTAAAATAATTAAAATTTAATATAAATTTATTTTTCTAACATATGTAACAACATTTTAAATTTTAATAAAAGTTATCAAGTGGTTAACGGGATATACTAAATTTGTCGCCAAACAATTTTTAGGATTTTATCTTTACCGGATTTACTAAATTCAAATTTACTTGATTCACTAAATCTTATTTCCTTAAATCTTGTTCTTTGCCATATAAACCCTATGTTTATAATTTTATTAAATATCCATTGTAGCATTAGTACATAACAATTGCAATTTAAGGTATTAAAATGGATCATATGACTTTTAATTTAGTTAACATATATTTAATATGGTGTAATTATTTAATAATTAATGAATGAATGAAAATACATTTTAAGTTTTTAATTGTTTAGTAAAATTCAATGTAATTATTAATTAATTTAATTAATAAGTAATTAATTTTTAATTAGTTAATTTTAAATTATTGCTTAATTAGTAATTAGTTTAATAAAAATATTAATAATTAATTAATTTAGTACATAATTAATTATTAATCAACATAATTAAAAAATAAAATTTAAATTGAATTCAATTACTTTAATAATAATTAAAATAATTAAAATTTAATATAAATTTATTTTTCTAACATACATAACAACCTTTTAAATTTTAATAACAGTTATCAAGCGGTTAACATGATTTACTAAATTTGTCGCCAAACAATTTTTAGGATTTTAGCTTTACCGAATTTACTAAATTCAAATTTACTTGATTTACTAGATCTTTTTTCCTTAAATCTCGTTCGTTGCCATATAAACCCTATGTTTATAATTTTATTAAATATCCATTGTAGCATTAGTACATAACAATTGCAATTTAAAGTATTAAAATGGATCATAAGACTTTTAATTTAGTTAACATATATTTAGTATGGACTAAAAGTTTTTAATTTATATATGTATGTTGACCTGTGGATTTGCCCCTCCTCTCTACTTGATCAAATATGACACTAATGATGGACAACAGATGCAATGTCACGTAAGATGAATTTGAATTGCCTTGATTGCTGTCAAAATCACTTCAAATTTCTACATGTTTGCATGAGATATCATGTTGATACATTTGGAGTGCCAAAAATACCCAGCAAGGACCCTCGCGCATCCTTAATGCATTACACGATGCAATTTGGAGAACAATTGATGGGATGTCACGCAAACCAAAGCTTCAAAGGCCTCAACCACTTTTAAAATTGCTCAAATTTTACCTGTTCACAAAACTGATTGTGACTATAGTTTGGAATGTTGAAAATGTTTGCGAAGATCACTTATATCATTTGAATCCTTGAAAGAAAGTGAAGTGCAAGTTTACACGCATCTTGAGATGGCATGCAATTCAAGATGTACGATAGACAAAGTTATTTGTGAAAGGTTGATACTTTCGAAAAATTTATTTCTAAATATAAAGATATTATAAATTTATTAATATTTTTAGTATTTTAAAATTAATTAGGTTGATTGTTATCCTGTCTACCCTTTTTCTGTTATTTAGTGCCAATCTATCCATCCTCTTGTTGTCCCATCTATAGTCCCATCTACACAACAAAGTAGAAATTAAATTATAAAACCTACCAAGTTCTGTGGTAACCCGTTGTTATTTATAGACCCCATTTTTTCTCTTCTTCTTACAAAACTCTCCTAACTTTGTTTTGTAGTTGTGCTACCCAGGTTCGCGGTGTCTTGTTGTTATTCGTATACCCCATTTCCCCCCTTGTTTTTCACCCCCACCCCCAACACCCAAGAAAAAAAAGTAATAATAATAAAAACTAGCCTCTCAGCTCCCCACTCGAAGACTAGCTTCCTAGCCTGAGCTTGCCATTGACCTACTTACATTGTCGAATGACTTTGTGACCACTCCCCATCTCATCTCCTGACTCCTCATGAGACGCTCTAGCAGACTTTAGTTCCCCCTCTCATTAAACGTAACCACAAACAACCATGTCCCGCCAAATCACCTCTTTCATTCTCACCTTCTCATCGCTACCCATCACTCATCATAGTTTTTGGCTTGACTCAGTTTAGCCTCACTGCCTCTCTAAAGTTAGATGGCCCAACCTTTGGCCTGAACGCATTGCATCAACCAATTTCTCTAGTCATATAAACTGATGATGTGGAGTACATGATTCATCTACTGGCTAGCATTTAATTGAAGTGGCCAAAAATGGGCATATGCCTTTCTGAATCTTTTTGCACCAGAAACCTTAGTTTCCAAGCCAATTTCTATAAATTTAGATAGATTTTTTTATATTCTTCTGTGTGTAAGCCTTTGTATGGCTTGATCTAATAATGAATATGCTTAAAGCAAGAACCGAACCTGCCTAAGCTTATAAAAACATAAATTTTTGAATAAGCCCATAGCTTAACCAAGTGGCTAAAAGATCATCATGATGGCAATTTTTAGGTAAATGTAGCATATAATTTTGAATTAAACTTCAAGACGTATTAGAAATCCTGTGAAGTTCGTCCCTTGCTTTCTTTTGTGGTTACATACTTTCTTGTTGATTTCTAACTTCTTCAAGAATTTTAAGCCTTTTTTTACTATATGCTTTATTACTCGCTCATTTATCTTGTGATCGACTAGTTTTGGAGAAAATGTTTTGTAATATATCTAGAAATTTTTGTTGTGTTGGTCATTACCAGGGTGTTGTCATTGACTAATGTGCGTGACAAATTATTCAGCCACTGTAATTCAATCAGTAAAAATTTAGTAGCTTTACTAATAAATCATTTATTTTTAGGTCAGACTCGAGCGAAAGGTTTTTTTTTAATAGCAGCTGCAGGTCATATTGCTTCGTAATGCTCTTCATTAAATTACTCATTGCTGTTTAAAAATGTTGACATGGTTGTTTTTGTCCTCATTCATTTCACACACCTGTCCGAACAGCAGGCTGTGTTCATTTTGATAACTTTTTCACTATTTTTTAGCTTTTATTTTTTATTTTTCTCGCATTTATATGCTTAATTTAACAATAGGAAATCTCAAACTAGTAGTCTGGTTTCTTAACCTGCAGTGGTATATGCCCATATTTGGCTTTCGAAACATGCCGCCAATGGAGGTTGAGCTCAAAAACTGTGAATTTGATGAGGAATGGAAAGATGCCCACGGTGACAATTGAGCAGGCCCAAAGGAACTTTTGCAAGGTTTGTTCATTACTGTTTCAAATAATGTATGCACTTTTTGTTTCTCAGCTACGTCCTTCTGTCGTATCAACTCCCACTGTATCCCTTCATCTGGAAAGTATGTTTTTTCTGTTGGTGTTATTAAAAACTGTGTCGGTCATCAGTATTTAGCTTTTAGATTCATAAATTGGATGGATAACTTATTTAATATAATGTTACATAGATTTGTTAACAAAATTCTAAAATTTCTTCTTTATGCACTCGGTGCTAATTTGTGAGCTTGTTTTGCTGTTTTACTTGGATGTTACTGTATATTCTAAATTCTGTAAGCAATGAAATTGCTTTATTTTTCAATATGATTGTAGCCGTTCTTCTTTAAAATTTATGCTTGAAATCAATTGGTATTGTTTGATTGTCCAAATCGTCTTATAACCTTTATGCCTTCTATAAGCTTGGTTTATTTGTGAAAGTCAATGGATCACTGCCAATGTAAATGGAGAGATTTCTGATCGCCGCACAATATTTATTGAAGTTCAAACAAGCTACAGATAGCTTAATAAGAAAATTTACAAGAAAAGGAAGAAGATTTACGATTGTTCTTTTAGAAAAAGTAGCAGTATTTATTGTTTAATCAACGTTGATCTTGGCCATATTTGGCACGAAGGGCATATTCCAAACTATTGTCAATTAATCACTCTTATAACCAAGCAGGGCTTTGGTGCTATAGTTAGCTTGTTGATGTTCCGTTTTTGTTTGCAACCCTTGTCTGTTCTCCCAACGCTGCTTGCTAACTCCATACGCTCTTCATTTTACTTGGATTCTTGAAAATAGCTTAGAAACCTTATGACTATTATCTGTAAGCTGTGCACATATTTATACTGCTTGACTGCTTTATATCCAAATGTGCTCAGTGTTTACATTATTTGTAATTTTCTTCATTTGCCATAATTTTGTTGAGTCTCCAGCTTTTAGCTTGACAATATTTTCTTTTTAAACGTATTTCTTCTTTTATCATAGAGGTTATCTACTAATTTTTTTCTCTGCAGGCTGTAAAATCTGGTCTTCTTAAGATTCTTTCAAAGATGGGAATTTCTTTGCTTTCCAGGTTTGCATAACCAACTTGCTAACTGTTATTGTGGTTTCGGTTTTGATGGACCTCTTAAATTGTAAAGCTGAATATATATATATATATATATATATATAGCGCCGCGTACTCAGATCAGTTGGTCGGACATCCGCTTGTCAGTCGTAATTCCCTCTGGTCTGGGGTTCGATTCCCCCCGAGTATAGGGTGTGGTACTCGAATTCTTAGGCGCATGAGGGATGATCGAGGCTTGTATACTAGCCTCCGACTATTCCTTTATAAAAATAAAAAATAAAAATAAAAAATTTATAGATATAGATAGATAGATAGATATAGTTGAACTTGTGATTTTATGGCTGATTTTCCCCTTTACCAAATCAGTTACTGTGGGGCGCAAATATTTGAGATATATGGCTTGGGGCAAGACATTGTTGACATTGCTTTTTGTGGTAGCATTTCAAAGATAGGGGGACTAACTCTTGATGAGGTCAGGAATCCAATTTAAATTACTTTTTGTCTATGCCCTTT